CAGCTGCCTGAAACATCAAGACTTCCTGTCCCAAAGTCTTAAGAACTTTATTTGAACACAATGTAAGTATTACTTCTGCACTGTATTTTCAGTATCTTGCATTAGAATAAGGCAGTATTTGGTCTGCAGGCCTAACATACATACAAAGGCTGAAGTATTTAGCGATTAGGGGAGGTTCCTGATGACTACAGAGAAACAGTTTTAATAATCATCTTCAAGGAGGAGGATCTGAGAAACTACAGGCCCATCAATTTAGCCTCAGTCCTCAGGAAAGTTACAGAGCAAGTCTTCCTGGAAGGCATTTCCAAGCACAAGGACAGAAGGATGACTGGGAATGGCAGCATAGATTTACAAAGGGCAAATCATGCATGACAAACAATTACTTTCTACAAGATGACTCCTTGAGCAGGTAAGGCAAAATCAGTAGATGCCATGTGTGTTGACTTTAGCAAAGTCCACCACCAAGGTGGATAGAAAAGTCCAGTCAGGGTGCAGATCGCTAGCGATGTCCCCAAAGGCTGATACTGGGGCCAATACTGTTTGCTGTCTTTAATAAAACTCAGTAAGTTCACATTTTGCTTTGATTGCATACGTGGCTTTTGCTTTCCCTATCAAACTGTCTTTATCTCAACCGATCATTTTTCTCCCTTCCACCTTTCTGATTCTCCCTCCATCCCACTGCAGGGGACTGAACAAGTGGCTGTGTGAGGCTGAGCTGCCTACGGGGTTAACCCACAACAACGGTTACAGGCTGAAAACGGCGGTTGTGATTTAGAGGGAACTAACAGACTGGAAAAAACAGGCTGACAGGAACTTAATAAAATGCAACAGATGTAAACACAAAGTCCTACACCTGGGACAGAATAACCCCTTGCAACAGTACAGGCTATGGACTGATGAAAAACTCAGTTAGGTACAAGAAATTAAAAAGAAAAGAAAAAAGATAAAAGAAAAAAAAAATTAAAAAGAGCATGAGTATATGAGTATGGTCAAACACATGGAATAAGTTGCCCAAAGGGGTTGTGAAGATATTAAAGCTGAACAAGACTCAGCACCATGATCTAATTTCACCTGCTTGATGCAGGAGGGTTCAACCAGATGACGTCCAGAAGTCCTGTGCAAAAAAGACAAGATTGTTCTACTGGTAAAATCTATTGTTTTTAATCGAGACAAACACTATGTCTTAAGATCAGTTACATAAATCCAATATTAAGTTTCAAGCTTCTGCTTTGAATTATGTAATACAAGAATACTGACGAAAATTTCAGCAAAAACAGCATGGTCCAACAGCATAAAATAAATCCAGAATACAGTATTTTCTATAATTAATCTTTATTCCTCCACCAGCTTAGCATAGTCTTAGACAAGTCAATTCATCTTTCTTACAGCAAGTATCTTCTACCTCAAAAAAAGCAAATAATTGAAGTGAACTTATTCTTCCTATTGAACTGAGAAAGCATTCCTGGCTTGCAACAGTAATGGTTCCTCTAAAGGAACCATATTAGCTATGAAAATCAACAGAATAAGAACCCCTTACATAAAAGCTACAGTCATTGACAAATAGCTCTTAAATATGTCACCCATCTTCTTTGTTCATTAAGAATGACCTTTTTTTTTTTTTTAAAAATAACAAACACTAGGAGAAAGAATAAAAGATAAATTGAAATAGCAGCAATAGTTTCTGCTGTTCGAGCATTGTATTAGAAAAGACTCATACTACGTCAACTAGAAATAAAATACGATTGGTTCTGTCTGGTAAATAAAAACTGATTACAGTAGATTTTTTTTCCACCAGTTAACATACAATTACTGTCCACTAATAATGGCTTACAAGTCAAAGATAACTTAAATAATTCAAAACTATGGAAAAACATTTTTGCTTTGTCTACTTTAGATAAACATAAAAAAACCACTGTGGAATATATTCAAGTCTAGTTGTGTATTGGTATACAAGCCTTTAAGAAAGGACTTGCCAAATAGAGCTAGGCTTTGTTAAACACAGCAAACAAAATCCATGTCTAACACAGAAGATGTAGTATTGAGCCATAATATGTCCTGGGGAGAAAAGTAATATGAATATATCTCTATACAAACACAGAAATAGCATCCATCAAAATTGCACAGGAAGACAGTAGTGAAAATGGTCTTGCAAACAAAATAAGGAAGCATAAGATAACACAGTTTAAGACTTCAGTTAACTATATAACAATGTATTTTTTTCCATTTTCAAGCACTTTATGAACAGCAGGTAATTTGATTTAGTCACCGATAAAGGCTTTTTTCTTTTCTTCTTCTAACAAAACTCCTGTTTTCAGTGGCAAGTGCTGCAACTCATTGGTATGAAATTATCACAGAATGGTGGGGGTTGGAAGGGACCTCTGGAGATCATCTAGTCCAACACCCCTGCCAAAGCAGGTTCACCTAGAGCAAGTTGCACAGGACTGCATCCAGGCGGGTTTTGAATATCTCCAGAGGAGACTCCACAACCCCCCTGGGCAGCCTGTTCCAGTGCTCTGTCACCCTCACAGTAAAGAAATTTTTCCTCATGTTTAAGAGGAATCTTCTGTGTTCCAGCTTTTGCCTGTTGCCCCTTGTCTTATCACTGTCCACCACTGAAAAGAGTCTGGCCCCATCCTCTTGACATCCGCCTTTTAGATAGTTCTAAACATTAATAAGTTCCCCACTCAATCTTCTCCAGGCTAAACAGACACAGCTCTCAGTCTATCCTCATAAGAAAGATGCTCCAGTCCCTCAAGCTTTTTTGTAGCCCTAAATATAGCCCTAATGATGGCAAGTAACATGTTCAGGAAGACCACTCCTTGAACCAATGACATTGAAACACACTGAATGATAACAACTTGGTAGCCTTCATTCTAACGAGACAATATGAAGTCCTCTATCTTTCAAATCACAAGTGAACAGACAGCAAATGTGGAGGGGGAACACAGAAATAGAAACTTTACTTTAAATCTACCTTAGATATGCTTCAGATTGCAAATGCTATTTTAGGCGGGGATAGAGCTCCACAGGGAGCAACAGTATCAAGGTAAAAGTTACCTTATGCAAAAAAAGAAAGGAAAAAAAGAAAATTAAAGTAAACACAAAGAAAGGGAAAGGTCAGTTACTTTTTGTGGATGAATATCAAAGCAATCATTTCAATTATCTTGATAATTTCTAGAGAACACAATATAAATTTAATCCCAGGTTTCCATTCCAAAATAGAAGAACTAAGAAAAAGTCATAAAGAGGGTTATACTTGAAAAGAGATTACAGAACAATGAACAGGAAAACAGACTGACTAGCAGATTTTGCAAACAACTAGACATGGTTATCTAAGAGACATACAGATACAGTGTACTTTCAGCAACTTTCTGAACTTGAGCATTTGAAGGAGAGGTGCCTAAATTATCTCTTTCTAGGTCAGCAAGAAATCTGTTTGGTAGTTGGTGCCCTAATTCAGCACTGGCTGAGAAACGTGGTGTTCTCATTTTGTACTAACCTTAATTTCTTGACAAATAACAACACTACTGCACAGGAAATAGTTTAATTCTTCATTTTTTTGTGATCAGCAGGGGTGAGGGAGTTGGGGAAAAAGCCATATGACATTCAAGAAAAACCTCTGGCAAAAACAACTTTCATCTTAAAGAACATCTAACATAGATCTGTGGTCGTAAAGGCTACAAACAAAACCAGATACCACAAGCCTTGATTCTGTCAAGTTCATAAAGAAATAAGAGCCATGCACACTCGGTGCATTCATTCTGCAAGTTTAATTGGCATGGAAATTGTAACTAAAACATTTCCTAATGCACTATAACCTGCTGAGGTGCCTCAGTCCTGCCTAACCTAAGTCATAAGTTTTTAAACCAACTTAGTTACTCAATGCTGGCAGTATAATTGGTATTTCTCAGGCAGCCACTTCCAGTTGATCAGTGTTTATAAGATCAACACATATGAAAACAGTTTCTTTATAAAATCCCTGCCTAACTGACCTCCTGTAACTTTTGAACCATGGATTAGTTTAAACAATTATGAGCATATCACACCCTCTTAGATATAGGTGAGGATAAATGGTACACTAGGGACCGCAAGCATGTTCTTAGCACAGTAAGGTTAACAACAGAGGGAAGCAAGTTAACAAATATAACACAAGTGAACAACTTATACACATATAGGTCATTTCCACTGGGAACATGCTATAATTTTTAAAAACCTGTTTATAGTTTCAAGACATCAGAGATTACCAAGAAAGTAAGAGTAGCAGAATAAGTATCGAGCCAGTTGACAGAAGCAAGGTAGTAAGAAACTGTATTACGGAACAAGAGTGCAGGCAAACAATCAAGTTGCCTCTTGCTAGAGCTACAACAGCGAGCATTCCTAGCTGCTGAAACTGACACTGTTGTATTAGTTTGAAAACAAAATTTGGATGCTTGTTTTTACTTCTACTTCACTGATTGTGTGTGCGCTTCTAATACTATCTGCTGTCAGATACAAGCAACAAACCAACTCCTGGCTTTAGGACATGACCAGAAAAATCTCAAGCAAAGGACACATAACAGGGAATGCTCCAAGCATGAAAAGTCCCACGGTGATAAGCTCCAGCGTGAAAGTCCAAGTTTACCTGATATTAAAACTGATGGTAGACCAAGAATTCAGTCCTAACATTCTCCTGACTTTGAAGATGCATGTGCAGATTAACTAGTAAGTCTCCTGTCATTCGCTAGTGCTAAGATAAGAAACCTAAATTAGAGCTTCTAACTGAACACTTGAAAGAAGTGATAGAAGAGTGGTGAGGTTACCTTACACATGCACTAAACTGAAAGAAGAGAGGAAGATAGGACAGAGTAGTCAGTCACCACTGTACATGATGATGACAAAATTGGGAATGGCTTCAAAGTATAAAATAAGAATATATGACTTCTCAAAATGGAGGTGAAGGCTTACTTAGAGAAATGAAGCAATAAACAATGTGCAAAACTCCTCCCTTCTCCCACACTTACCCGACTACCTCAACAGCATCATTAAGATAGGGGTCAACTATCATCTCCTTTGAAATGTTCCAATCTCCATCCGCAGCGATGATGCCAATGTTGCTTAGACTCAGTCTGTCCAAAGATTGTCGAAGTACCTTAGTAACAGATAACACCACTTAAAGTACAGCCTTCATCAACCAGGCAACATGAAAATTTAAGTCTGAAAGCAATTTAAGAACTGTAGGAGGAGTTGGTGGAAGCATTTGTCTTCTGATCAAGATGGATAAGAAAAGTTCTCATTTCTCAAAGAGAGCCACGGTGACAACTAAGATAAAGTCAATAATTAACACTGAAGGTTTATCTATGACATTCAGATAGTCAATACACAAATATGGGCTTCTCATCACTTGGATTACTTTTGACACACCATGTGCATATGTGTACTGCACTCAAGACACTCTCAACGTATTGACTCCATTCACTGCATGCATGGAATTAATTACATATGAATAATGGATTTATCATAAAGTCACTGACGTTAAGTTGATCTAAAAATGATGATGGGTCAGAGTATGTAAGTGGACGTAACCTCCACAAGTGATCGGAAGCAAATGTTAACCTGATCCCACAAGAAGTATATAGCGAAAACAAGGACTGAAGTTTTAAAATAGAAAAGACTTGTAAACATGCAGTTCTCTACAAGAACAGGAATCTTTGCCAAATATCTGCCCTTTTCAAGGGAAGAGCACCTAAGCATTCTTTTCACAGACCATTTTACTGAACAACAAAAAAAAAATTCTTGACCTTTTAAGTGTCTGATAGTTTACACACTACTTGGCTCTCATATCTTTCACTAATTTTCAGGAATGTAATGCATAAAACTGGAATTGCATATTTACCAAAAAAAAAAAAAAAAAGAGAGAGCAGTCAACTTTGAATTCAAACATGCCAGCAGAAGATAATTCCTACTCTATCTTTCCATCTTCTCCTCACTCTTTCACTATCTAAGATGATAAACTTCTCATATATGTCTGTGGAGCTGCTTAGACTAAATATACCCAGCTTTAACAGTTAAGAATGAACCGGGCTTATTCAGTGCTGGTATTATACAAGCATGTTTCATCTGAACATACAATTAATTTTATTTTTTTTTTAAAGTATTTTCAGCAGCTTTGACAGAGTTGCATCTGAAAAAGGACATCAGTCAACAGTCTAAAATCCTTTTTTCAATCTTGGATATAGAGGAACAATGTACTATGTGCTGCAAGTATGCATGTATTCATAAGAAAGATTTTTCCAACCATTTGAAGAAGTAGGCATGAACCCTTAAATAATTTCTTGTAATAGCCCTCCAGCAATGTGAAAGACAACAGGGAGCACTTCTATTTTGGCGTGTACTCAAATAAGTACACAAAGCAAAGTCAAAGTGTTGGTGACAATGAAAGCCTAAACCTAAAGGACATAAAACTTTTTAAGAAGAAAAGTAGCAATGAATTTCTGTTCAGTGACTTGAAGCCTTTGAATCAAAGTTTACCAGAAGAAAAATTCATAATGTTAGAAATAACTACAGTAAGGTCCTTGCAATTTAAAGCTTTCTCGCTAGCTAGACATGCAGAAAACCTGTCTATCCATAGAGATAGTTCAGAAGAACAAAATGACTAGAAAGGTTTCAGAAGCACCAAGGACAAAGAACTGTAGACACTCAAAATGCACTCCACAACAATACATGCAAAATGGTTCCCCCACACCCAGTATTCATGTTTATATATGGATTCTCCTTAAATTTCAGGGTTAGTTGAAAATGACAGTTATTAAAAATATTATTAGAAAAATTGGATCTTCTTGAATGAGTATTTATAAGTAAGAAAATCTTTTTTTTTTTTTCATCTTTTCTACTTAATAAGAAACATAACTAGCACCTTAGTGGATGAAGTAACTAAAATAACTTCTTACAAGTGAACATTTAGCAAGATAACCAAGAGCTTATCTATGTCATATATTTGTCAGACATTGCAGAAAATGTTTGGTGTGTGACTTCAGCAAATAGAACTTTTTTGAAATGGCAAACTGCAAATAGAACTATCGTGCTAATTAGAGAACAGATGCCAGGTCACACTGAAGAGTGCAAGAGAATGCATGGTAAAATAGGAGTTAAATAAAAACCCTTATATCAATTAACATACAGTGGAGGGAAGGCTTACACTTTTCATCAAATATTTGAGTGATTTTAAGATCAAATTCTAAACTAAACACTTAGCTCTAGAAGCCAAAAGCTTAGTCCCTACTCAACAGCATTTAAAAAGCTAACAAGTAGAATGCCACGCCTACATTCAACAGTTTGTTCTCCACATTCATTCTCCCCACACAGGGAAGTTAAGACAGATGAGAAAGCCTCCAGGTGACATGACACAGGACTGAGCAAAACAGGACATTTATATTTCTTACAAGACATACAGAAAGACAGGAAAACTGTTTCCAAAAAAGAGCCAATCAGTGATACAGTGAAATGAGTATTTTATTTATAGTAAGATCTGCCTTCTCTCTCTGACGATTCTTTTACAATGGGTTCAGTCTCATAGGCATTCCAACCAACATAACATCTAGTCAGTAAAGAAATAAACTTCCAGTTAAAAAAAAAAAAATTCTCACTATTAATCTTCCACCTTATTTGCATTATTTTATTCCAGTTTGCAAACAACTGTTTTCAGTTCTGTTTGGTTTTGCTTCTATAACAAACACACTGAACAACTAGAGAGTTCTACGTCCCCACACACATACATTTCCCCCTCCTCCCCTCCCAGCATAACTTACCTTTGATTAGGATTATCCTTTAGGAGACTACTAGTAGCCTTAGTGATTTCTCCATTAGCCAGTACTCAACTAGTGAACCACTTTTTTCTTTTTGAAAAAGAGAAGCTTGGAACTCACATTGCCTGAGGCTAAATATAACAGAAAACTTCTAGTTCCTGAGGGTTTTTGTAAAAAAGAGAGTATCTTATGAATTCATTTCCTAGCTTTAAAAAAAGGTTTGTGCTGAACACACTTTGGAATGAGATATTTCAAGACGATTCTATGCACACCCATTGAACAAGTTTAGACAGGGATTTAAGTAACTTCACTAGCAAAATCTGAAGCATCTGCACATCCACCAGAGTTCTGTTAGGTACCATGCCCAAAGAAACAAGACACCTTGACACATAGATGCCAAGACATCCTGCTGTGTCACACTTCAGTGTATTGGTGTTTTCTATGGAAGGGATTTTTTTTATAGGGACTCTATAAATCCCTTCCAGAGAAAGGGATTTATAGAGTTCTCAAAAACCCTAGTGCCAAACCTCTGTGTCCAAAAGGAACTAACAGCCCAGCAGCCTAACAAAAGTCAGAGTCTAGAAAATACCAAATTTAGTTATGGAATGAATTATACATAACAGAACTTGGTCCAAGATAGGATAAGACTCAGAAACTACGTTACTATGGTGGCAGTGGACCCAGTAAATCAGTTCAAAACAAATGGTTGATTAACGTATTTCTTAACAAGAAACCCATAAAGCTGGATATAAGGTATTCTTCTTTCTTTGTACCAGGTATATGACCAGCACAGAGCTTTCTGCCAGTGCTTCCTGTCCTCCCTCAGAGCAATGCACAAATCACAGGAAACAGCTATAGGGTATTCTTCTAATTCTACATTCTAGGAAATATAATTTTAAAAATAAATGTTTTATAAGAGAGTATTCTGAGTTTTCAGGAGTAGGAAGAATTTTATATATGCCAGCCTCAAGAAAGATACTCAAAGATACTTTTTTGCTCTCACTGCAATGTCAAGCTTAACTGTTGTTGCCATTTCCTAAAACTATTCATTGAACAAAGTAACTACAGAAGTTGCCAAGGACAAATGCTGTGACCAACCTCATCCAGTCTACACAAACCATAAGAACTGAAACTTTTCCAATAGCCACTAATTGACTAATTTTAAGCAGATGGGATGCAATTCCAAAAAAAAAAAATAAATCAGCAGTTTTTCCTACACACTCAATTAAACTTTTACTTGCTTTTAAGAAGTAATGCTATTGCTTCTTAGCCTCGAAGCAGCACCAAGGAAATTAAAGCAGAAGCTTGTACTTAAGATTCCACTTCAACGTGATATAACAAACACAAGTGAGTTTTCAAAGGGCAGGGTGGCAGCAAGGGCAGGCAGCAGTGAGCGATATTAGCAATATCTCAAGGTTGGTTATATAAATATATTTATACACTGTGTTCTTCCAACTCTTTTAGAACAGGAAGTACTGAATTTTGTTCAGTTAAAAACACAGAGTCTATATTATGTTTTCTGACTTACCTTTTCCATAAAATAAGAACGCAGAGTTTTACAGCAATAATTTAAGGGCATTATATTCAGCAGACCTTTGCTACAGAATTCTAAGTAATTCTAGATCTTGGACTTATAACTATATCCAAGACAGTACAAAGATTGATGAATTTGTATGAATTCAGCAGCATCAACTGGAGCTTCTACTAAAACGTAGAGGTCCTAAACATTTAGCAAACACTACCACACTTACAGTTCAAAATAACTGTTTCAGATCTGATCCTGTTAGTATTCTATGTCTGTAGCCACAAGAAACTGAGTTCAGTAAGTGAAGTTCACTGAAGTGAACTACTTCAGTGAAGTAGTTGCAGGATTAAGGTCCCTTTTCTAGACAAATTCAGTCAAGCTAATTGTTTACATATGATAACAAAGACAAACATTTCACTTTAGAGAAGTAAGAAAAAATACATACCTTTATATATTTACTACTAAATGCCCTTTCATTCCATATCTATAAAGGAAAAGTAAAAAGCCATTTAGAAAAATCAGGATATGTCAATACATAATGAAAGATTTTACTTACGTATATGATAAGTATACATATATAAGATTATACAGCCCATTAATGAACACCATGGTTTCAGTTTGCTAGAGGAAAGTGCTCTAGTTGGTTTTGTTACCAGCTCTTCAGGGCAAAATTCTGTATGAAAGTTCAAAATAGCTGCTTGTTTATCTAAGGTCTACTG